TGACAGATACAGTATTGGACAAAAATATATTTTTCCATAGTAGTCCATGTATTATCTTCAGCACTAGATGAATGTTAATATATTCCATAAAGTTGGTTTGTGTCTGCAACCAGAATGTATACTTTGGCTAATTACTCAGTGGCGTCCTTTAACAAAGGAATGACATCTGTGCTTCGCTCAGCATAGGTCATCAATTAACTACTGAGGGACTTTTTAAGAGCCTAAAATTCTTAGGTGCAGAACGTCTGAGGAATTGTTGAATTCTGATTTGACTTAACTTTCTATTCTAGAGATGCTATTCTATTGATGCACTGTATTATCATGGAGTATTGTCACCATGTGAAACAAATCTCTAATGGAATTAGGTGGGCCCAGATTATGAAATGCCTTCCTTTTCTCAGCTACTCTTTTTCCAAAAGTAATTCTGTTTTTACTATTGTTTATAATGTCCCAAATGTGCTTTTTAAAGAGGCAATTGGATTTTCTGGTTTTTCTTTGAAGACATTTCACTTCTCATCCTTCCATTCCCCGCCATCCAGTCAGAGCTGAAGAAGCTCCTTGGATGAGAAGCAAAACATCTTCAAATAAAAACCAAAGTCCAGTTGCCCCTTGAAAAAGCACCTTTGGGGCAACCATGACCTGAATGATTGAGAATCTCTATAAACATATTGTTTATAACCTTTATGTAAATAATTTGATATATGTAATGAACAGAAGTATACTATTTTTAGATATTTAAAACACTGTTTTATTTCATCAGTAATTCAACCCTAATTACGTAGGTTTGTTGGCATTTATTTTTATAGACATTGATTTATGATTGAATGTTTTGACATTTTGTTTTCATTAATGCAGGTTGCTTTTATAATTGGGTAGATTATAAACACCCTAAAATAAATTTTATCACTAGCTTGGGAGACCAGGAACATATAAATTAAACTATTAATAGAATTAATAAGCATTATATTTAAATTGTGAGCTGGAAAATAAGAACTGCTGGAGTATATTATTCAGAGCTGAGCACTTAGAGCAGTGGTAGTCAACCTGGTTCCTACCGCCCACTAGTGGGCATTCCAGCTTTCATGGTGGGCGGTAGGGGTTTGCTGTAACTCTGCTTTATAAATTTTATAAAGTAAAGTTACTTCCCTACTTTATAAATCACTATTACTGTGGAACCGGTGGGCGGTTAGAAAATTTTACTACTAACAGAGATACAAAAGTGGGCGGTAGGTATAAAAAGGTTGACTACCCCTGACTTAGAGAGTCCAAGTGATAGGGCATATGAAAGTGTTTTCTCATTACCATTGTACAGATTTTGAGTTTTAATAAAAATGATAGGTCAGGATGGTTAGTGCTGACTTGATCACCACAAAGGAAATAGGATATGCCAGAATGTTGAGTCCTATGGACTTCAGTATCATGCTGAATAACTTGAAATAAATACAAAGTCCCTTTTCAACAGAGCATCATTTACAGTTTGACTCAAAGCCAGGAAAAAAAAATCAACCATCTAAGTGTATCAGTGGCAGATGAGAGCTTGCTGGCTATTCATGGGTAATTCATAAACTGGCAATTCCTGAATACTTAACAGCAGCTGTTTTGGTTGATGTTAGACTGGTTGATCTCATGTGGCAGTTCAGGGAATAGCTTATGAAATTCATGTTGGAAGAATGTTTTGGATGTACAGAAACTAAGAGCTAGCTAAACCAGAGAGAAACAGAATGTAACCTCTTTGCCAGCATGTCCAGAAAATATTTTTCAGTAATCATGATGGATAGCAATAGCACTTAATGCTATTACTTATATGCAGCTCCATAGTGCTCTACAGCCCACTCTAAGCCCACAATGTCAACATCTTGCCCAATCTGGATCCTCATTTTACTGACCTCAGAAGGATGGAAGGATGAGTCAACCATGATATTGAGCATTAACGAATATTACAATGAATACCCAGTCTAAGGATGTATATCTAATTGCACAGACAAGTGGAAAGAGAAAAGCACACTAGAGTGGACTAAAACAACAATATACTGAGATTTTCAAAGTATTAGAGATTAATAAAAGTATCTAGTCAAGATGTGAGTTTCTACAATCAAGAATACCCACGCTAGACTACTGCCTGACTTGGTTTTAATTGTAACAATGACAAGATTGAAGGAAATAAATTGATCTGAGTCCAACACACTAAAATAGGAGAGCAAGAGAGGTGTTAAAAGCTGTAGTGTGCTTTCTAGAATCAAGGAGCTGCAAGACAAGTTTTGGCAACCGATTATTTAGATAATCACTCTGCTTAGGTTAGATGATGAGTAATGTGTATGGTAGTTGGGCTGGAATTGAAATATTTAGTAAAGGGGCAATTACAATCAAGATTTGATTCAATAAACCTATGCAATTGTTACACTTTGTGGTGTTGCCTTCCTGACAATTGTACCAAGAGAGAGAAAAAATGCTCCATATTATCTTTTAAGAGACTCATCTTTCTTCTCTGAGCTACCATCATGGCTCCAACAGTGGATCTCAAATGTTCTTGATGGTGTAAGCCTGAAATGTATTCTTCATTATCCTAAAAACAGACCTGATGTATCAGTCTTGTCTAGTATGTGGCTTTGCACACAAACAACAAATTTACCAGCAGGAGAAAAGGACATAGAAAAAGGACACTTTCCTTGCAGTTTAGTATTCAAAGACATGCTGCCCCCATCTGGATGGGAGCACTGAATTGTTGAGACCAATAAGAGCTTGATGGATTTGTTCTCCATTCATTTCCCTATATATATTTTTTTAAAGCTATCAAAGTTCTGTCATTACATCATAATATTCTCCACAGGTTAGTAATGTGCTGCATGAAGAATTGCTTTTTTAAGAAACAAAATCTCCTTTGCTACTTCATTGGTTTCAATGGCTGGTTTTTACTGTTAGTAGTAAAGTTTACTACTTTGTATCCAAGGCAAAACTAGGACTCAAGGCCTAGTTTCTTGCCTGGAGCTTTAATCACTGCATCAAACTGGCTCTCGTGTATTGATTATATAGCTGTCAAGCTGTCTACTCTTAGCAACCACCCAGATAGGGGTGTCAAACTCACATTGTCACAGTGTCATCACATGACGTATCACAACTTTTTTCCTTCACTAAACCAGGCATGGGCATGGCCAGTGCGTGATGCATCTGGCCCACAGACTGCGAGTTTGACACCCCTAGATAGATTTTCTCCATGATGATCTGGTCCTTCTGATTTTCCAATGGTACACTCATTGCCATTGTAACTGAGTCCATCCAACTTGGTGCTGGTCATACTCTTCTATATTTCTCAGCAGGAGAGCCTTCCCCGGAGAGCTGGCTCTTGCATGTGTCTGAAGTAATTTGTACCTAAAGTAAAACCTTGATTGATGCGTCGTCAGTTTGTTTTCTTAGCTATCCACTATATTTTCAGGAGTCTTCTACAACACTAAAGTTCAGCCGCTTATTACTTTCCTGTCTTCTGTCTGCTGATACAGGTTGGTCCAACCCCCTGCTTAGGCAGGAAACCCAAACCACTGCACTTTTACCTTTTCCATTTATCTCAAATTAACTCCCTTAGGTACATGTTCTCCCTGAATCATAAATAGCTTTGTTATAGAGCCTGGATGTTTTTACATCTCAATTCTCAAGGATATTATTAAAAATGCCGTTTCTCCTGTCCAGGTATTATGAGGGATACTTTTTTAAAATAAGAAATGGCAGTTAAAATGCAATCTGTTATTCTGAAGCTAAATGCCTAGCAATACAGGATGTTCTTAAACCAGAAAGGAAGATGCCAGAGAACCTCATCTGCACTTCTTTTCAGCATTATTTATTCCTGTGATAAGATCAAGCTAGTATCTATTTGACTCTCTGTGAATTGTGTTGGGGTCCCAAACCTCCCGGCCGTGGCCTATTGGACTGCCAAAGCGGCAGGCAAGCATGCAAAGCTACATTTGCGCATGCGTGGGGCTTAGTTTGCATGTGAGGCCATTCCTACCCCACCCCACCCCACCCCAAGCTGCCACCAATCCATAGAACCAAAAAGGTTGGAGACCCCTGCTGTATATATGATCTGCACTCTTGAAGACCTTGCTGGCTGGGAGCTCAGTGACTACTTATCATTTTATAGTTTAATGAAGAAAACTGGTTTGGGCTCAGTGGTGGGTTTCAAAAATTTTTCGAACCTACTCTGTGGGTGTGGCCTCCTTTGTGGGAGTGGCTTGTCAGCCATGTGACCTGGTGGGAGTGGCTTGCCAGCCATGTGTTTTCTTTCTTACTTTCTCTCTCTCCTTCCTTTTGTCTCTCTGTCCCTTTTCCCTTTTTTTCTTTCATCTCTCACTTTTTCTTTTTTTCTTTCCTTTCTTCCTCTTTTTCTCTCTGTGTGAGTCAGTCAGTCAGTCAGTCTGTGTGTGTGTGTGTGTCAGTGGTGGGTTTCAAAAAAATTTGGAACCTCTTCTGTAGGTGTGGCCTGCTTTCTGGGTCCACTGGTGGAACCTTTTCTAACCGGTTCGGTAGATTTGACGAACCGGTTCTACCGAACTGGTAAGAACCCACCTCTGTTTGGGCTTCTCTAGTTGCTTTATGATTTATTCTTTTTTGCATCAAGATGTATTGTGGAAGGATTGCAAACAGTTGCTACAGTATAATTACATAGTAGAATTACCCAGATCATTAAGAGCAACAATACAAGGGTTTGTTTTTTTTATCAATTGGGACAGTTAATATAAAAGGAAGATAAAAGAGCTGTAGTTGAGATTAACATTCCAGAGAAGTGTTACTTTGTGCAAGGAGAATACCAGGCATGTACTGCTTTTTTTTCAGGAAGGGTATTTGAAAAAATAATTAAGATTAAGTTCTTAATCTTATTTTTCATCTTATATCAAACATACTTATATAAATGACATTTGTGGGAGGAAGTAGAGGGTAGATATACAATGTTCTTCTAGTTAATGATAAAGAGGATGGATTGCACCAACTGCCTAAGCAATACAACTGTCACCTGAGTTGTTATTATTTATTGATAAAATTGAGAGCTAATGGGATCACTGATCAAACCCAACATGACAATCCCTAAATCTGTCCAATATATACATCTAAATAAACAACTCAAGGCATTTTAGATACTGATTTTTACCTCAGCATTCTTCTGAAGCTCTCATCCTATCTCACTGTCACATTAAGAAAAGCAAAATTATCTTTTAAATCAGATCAACATCAAAATGTTGGAATTAAACTGTTTCAAATTCCTCACAGAGTTAGGTAACTACCTGATTACAGCTAAAAGTACATCTCTGCTACCAACAGGACACACTATACAATCAGGTCACCGGTTTGTGATCTTCAGGCACTATAACTTTAACAATACCCTCCATGACAATTTTGCCACTTTGGACAACTGTACATGACACTGCAATATAAGCAAGACATCTCTTCAATTTCTTAACTTCTGCGGAAGCCAAGACCTGTTCTCCAACATATAAAGGAGACGGAAAATTAATTTCCTGAGAAAGGAAGATACAACCAGGCCCAGGCATTTTCGTACCTAGGACAGCTGAAATAAGTCCATTGATCAAAACACCATGTACAACTGTTCTCCCAAACCTTGATTGCTTTGCATATTCTTCATCCAAGTGTAATGGGTTAGTATCTCCTGTTAATTCAGAAAAGATAACAATATCCTTTGATGTGAACTTCTTAATTATTTCAGCTTTGTCTCCAACTTGTATGTGTAAAAACTGAACACGGTGTTGAGTGAAGAATGGCATAGACACACTTGGCTTTGTGGAAAATATTCTCCCAAGTCTCACACAAAAAAATCTGCATTGGGGCAATGCCATCAGCATCATAGTGTTATACAAACCATAAGCAACTGAATAATTAATCGAGCACCATTTCTCTGCTGTTCCCAGCTAATGCAAGAAGAAATGGAGAAGTCTAAAGAAAGAGGGAAAAAATTCAAATAAAAGCACTAAATCAATTCATTTTGCATAAAATAACATTCAGGCAGCTTTAAGCAAATAAATGGTAGTTGATTAATTTCCTTAGAGACCAAATTTAATAACTGTAAGCCTAGGACAGGATGGTTAAGTGGCTGAACTCAAACATTTCAAGTGGAATGAGATGAAAGGAAATGATGCCATAAATAATGGTGGTGTCAGCCTGAAGCCCTGAGAAAAGAAATGGCCATAGCCAGGTTGGCTTATATATTCAAGAAATATAAGTTGCTAACAGCAACAGATTATTTGTACTCAGAGCAGAACAAGCCGGGATGAAATTATTCTCCAAGAAAACAAAAATAGTAATACAATAAAGCAATCAACAGCAAAGCAGCAGATAGTAAACAAAACAAACCTTTAGAAAAATATATTTATCCTGTTTCTTATCCACCCAATGAATTCTCTGATTAGGTTAAAAAAACTATACTAGGTTAAAAAAACTATTGAAAAAAATATAAAGCAATAAAACACATAAAACCCAACATACTGTATTTTTTGGGAGTATAAGACATACCTTTTTCCCTCAAAAAAAGAGATTGAAAATCTGGGTGCATCTTATACACTGAATACAGTGTTTTTGCCTCCCATAACCCCGCCCCCTTCACCAAAATGGCCATTCCAAGCCTGTAGGCTTATAGAGTGCTCCTGGGGGTTGGGGAGGGCAGAAATGAGCGAAAAATGGGCCGTTTTTTTGCCCCTCCAACCCCCCCCAGCACTCTATAAGCTGCCTAAAAGCTATGCATATAATTTTTTTGACAAAAAACAGGCCTGTTTTTGTGAAAAATGGGCCATTTTTTGCTTATTTTTGGTTCCCCACCCCACCCCCTAAGAGCATGCTACAAGCCTCCTAAAGGCTATTAATGCCCCCCCCTTTTTGGGGGGAAAAATGGGCCTGTTTTCGTGAAAAATGGGCCGTTTTTCTACAAAACAATTTTTTTTAAATTTGCCTCTTCAAAACCTTGGTGCGTCTTATACCCCGGTGCGTCTTATACTCCAAAAAATACAGTATATCCACACACAATGAAAGTCAACTCTAATACTTTAAGGAAAGCATAGGATAAGAAGTGCATGTGAATATAGTCTATGGGATGCCCATCTTCAATATAAGATCTAAAAGTGCTAGAGCAATAATTTTATTGAACAAATAAAGCTTTCAACTGATTATTTCTCAATTCTTACCTGTATCACCCTAAAGGCACATTTTCTGTTCTGGTATGAACCAAGCAATGATAGAGCACTCCACAGTTTTACAAGGCCACTGTATAAATAATAGCATTGGATATATTAATGGAAATGACTAATCAGTAGGCAAGTAAAGTAAGCCATAAATATTTCATGGTAAATAGAATCAAGGTTCAATGAGCTTGGAGCCATATCTATCCAGAAATTAGATCCAAATAAACTTGATGCTGAAATTTTCCAGCATTTATGTTAAGATAACAAATAATGCTTTCCTGATAAAAAATAGCATTTAATGTAATCAATGGTAGTGAGTATGGAGCCTGTCCATTTATATACAGCAGCTTGCCCTTCCAATATTAATGAGGGTGTGGCTTTTCCCTTGGTATTTTCTTAATTAGTTGTTTTCTGCTTTATTGTTTGACTGGTGTCAATACCTGCTTCTCTGGATGTAGGCTAGCAGTCAGAAGACACACTGAAAGCTCCTTAATCTCACAACTATGAACAGATTCAATCATAGTTTCAACTGGGAAATCACATAAATAATCCATATCAAGCCATATCCAAAAATGCTAGAGAATTTCTGGAAACTAAGCATTCAGACAAACCAGCCATCAATGGACACATAAAGTTAAACCACATTTACAAATCATTCAAGAGACTATAAAAAACTAAGAAAAAAATAGATTAGAACACATCCTCCACCAACACTGGCAGGACAAGCTATTGTATATAAACAGGGAGCAAACACCGCTCACAATCCCTGATGGTGTTAGTTACTTGGGTAATGAAACATCTGCAAGCAAACAAGCTCAGAGATCATTAAGAATTCCACAAACCAGTGTTTCTCAAACTTAGCAATCTCAAGATGTGTGCACTTCAACTCCCAGAACTTCCCAGTCAGCATGGGAGAAGTCTACCCATCTTAAAGCTGGTAAGTTTGAAAAACTGGTACAAGACATATGACACCTTACTCAAATTAAAAAAAGAATTATCTTCATTTTTATTATTATGCTAGAGAGCATTCCTTTATCTAACCACACCTGCCAAGAAAACATATTCAAAATGTCTTACGCATTAGATACTCTAAGTATGGCAGTCAATGTTTTTTCTTCATATGTCAAAACATCAACAGGTAATGCAGCACCAACCTGAAAGGAAACATGCCACTGTTACTAAGATGCACTTTAAAAGTCTCAAAGTCATTAAGAAAGCTCTCATAAGAAGTTCAACTCTGTTCCACCAGTACATTTAGTTTAATTTGATGTAATTGCAAACTTGGTATTCAAGGTAAGCTTAATGAAGAATGAATGACCTGCAAGTTTTTTCAATATATTTCATTACAAGCCCAAACTTGTGGGATGTAATGGAGAATAAGAGAAGATCTTGAATATTTTTTTCATCATTTTCATTTTTTAATCTACTTTTCTTGTATACATTTTAATCACCAAGGCCCCTTATAGCTGGGAGAAACAGCTGGTATTTGTATTTTGCCTGATCCTACCTTATTTAAAACATAATGACTCTTGAAATTTTTGGTGACAGGGTGTGTTTTCATTAAAACAGATGCATGCCAATTAGTGTTTGACATATTTCCTTATTATTTTTCCCATATAACAAAACATTACTGTCATTTAAAACTAAATTTTAGTAATGAAGTTATTATGAAGCGGGAAGCAGTGCCAGAGTGCAAAGAAGAAACTAAGTGACCACTGTGTTTTAAAGGATATTAACTAATAACAGATAAAGGCTGATATGCAAAGAACCAGTTTATTAACAACCTGAATCCTAGTTCAGCATGGTGTACAAATGCAGCTAGTAAAAGTCTTCTTAATACAGAGATTTCAATCAAAACATTTAAAGACTCCTGTATATACTGTGCATAAATCAGAAGTTGCAAAGGATTTATAATTACCTCAAAAATAATTTTAAAAAATGACATACCTCACCATGGAGTCGTTTCAAAGCAGAGATGATAAGTTGTTTGAAATCAACAGGATTTAAACTAATGCCAGCTTCTTCAAACTCCCTACAAAACATTTTATGCAATACGGTTTATTAATGTAATATGCCAAACATGTTAAAATTATTCAGAACTGGGCAGAAATGGAATGGAAATATTTTAGAAAAGGGATTTGAACTTACAAATGGATCTTCAAATAATGGTATTCAGAAACATTCTTCAGGACTATTCTTTCATAAGCAGCAGGTTCAATGCCCTTATTTTCATCGTCAAATTCAGACATCTTAGGATGCCCACATCTAAAAGACAGAACAGTCCATTCTGACATATTGCCAAGTCCTAAGCTCAAAATCACAAACTCTTAATTATGATCAATTGTCACCTGCACTTTGAAAATGTATGCACTGGCAGAGGGGGGAAATTTCTTATTTTTCATTCTTTTGGTTCACTAGGCAACCTAAGCCAGGTTGCATAGGTTTGTTAGTAGTTATTCCCATAATGGCCACAGGTGAGTCCAAAGAAGCAAACGTAGACTGGAGGAAGAATGAGAATGTCCACAGCTTAACTGGTGTTTCAGATTCAGGCACGGGCATCTCTTCAATTTAAGTGATCTGGTGATACAATCTGTCTGATCCAGAACAAGAAGCATCTAAAGCTGTCAGGCTTAACTGAAACTCACTTTTGCTTTACTGTAGCTTAAAATAATTTAAATGCCCATGCAAAAGATCAGATGAAAATGCAAGCTTGTAATTTTTGTGCACCAATCTATGGACAGATAAAACTGAAAGCAATTTGATTTCAGGAAAGCCAGGCTGAAGGGACTTGGATCCCCTCAGAATGTTTCCACCTGGAATCTTGTTCTGCTAAAAAAAAGTCACTAAACATCTTTATCCAAACTACTTTTTGTTACATCAGCGATATGACAAAAGCATGTTTTCATTGCATCCAGACAATACATACAGTGCACAATTTAAGCACACAAATGTTATGGGGAGAAAGGTTGGGTAACAATAATGTTTAAGTGTTACCACTAAAGGAGAATATATGTAGTTTAGGGTTCAAATGAGGGAATCCTTCGTGCTTGCTGTCTGAGCTTGGTTGTTTTCTTGCAGACGTTTCATTGTCCAAACTAGGTAATATCATCGGTGCAAAGCAGAATATGCTTCCAGCATCCATCTCTAAGGAGAGATGGATGCTTTCAGCGCATCATTCTACAACTCTCATCATCGTGGGCCAGTGGCATTGATGGGAGATGCATTGATAAGACATGGGGAAATGGAACTTAGGGATATTAATGGAACTTGGCGAATTTTGTCTTGATCACGATTAAGATTTCTGAATCTTACCCCGTTAAGCAAAGCTCTGCGCTTTTCACAGAGCTCCTGCCTAAATGCGGCTCATTGAGCTGGGCCAAAAAACGGATGTTAAGATAAGCTTAAATGGGTATGAAAGACGACAGAGTGCATTTCTTCCTCCCAGCTGTAAAATGCGCCAGTCCCTCCCTTCTGTCAATGATCACCGCTACTTACACCCGAGACCTTACAACCAGCGGAGATCGCTCATCCTCGCGCGTCCCCAACACGTGGCCGAACGGAAGCAACGAGTAGACGGGCCTCCAAACGCATCAGCCAATCGTAGGCCGACATTTTTTTTCTGACCAATGGGAGTGCGTGGCACAATAGGATTGTGTGCGGGGAGTTGGGCATCTCCATAGGTCAGGCAAAGTAAAGACTCTGGGACAAGCCGGCAGTAGGCGGGGTAATTGGAAACCAATAGGATGAAGCGCCGTGGCCGGAAGGCGTGGTCTTTGTTTCCCCGACCTCAGGGTTGCGTCGTCTTTGCTGCGAGTAGAGTTTCGGCTTTTTCTTGGCTGCTCAGGAGAAGGAGGGGGCGGCGGGCTTGTTTATGGCTGGTTGTTCTGTTCCCGATCTTTGCTGCCGCGACTTAGTTAGTATCTGAATCCTAAGACTTCGTACCAGTATTTTCTTCGGGAATAAATGTCCCCAAATCACAAAGGATTTGAGTCCCAGGGAAAATGTACACTACATATCTATGGAGATTCTCAGTCATCCACGTCATGGTTGTCCCAAAGGTGCTTTTTCAAGAGGCAACTGGACTTTTTGGTTTTTCTGTGAAGACGTTTTGCTTCTAATCCAAGAAGCTTCTTTGGCTCTGATTGGATGGTGGGGAATCCAATATAAACCCTTCTAATCCCCATGAGAAGCAAAACGTCTTCAAAGAAAAACAAAGTCCAGTTGCCTCTTGAAAAAGCACCTTTGGGATGTACACTACATGCTTCAACTCTGAGTGCTGAAATTTTACTGGCTGGATTCACGCTTTGTACCAAGTTGTGACTCACATTTTAGTGCTAGATGGTTGTGTGAACCAAGACTTACTTTGTGGTTTACTGTGTTATTGAAACTTAATGTTGGGTTCCTATTGTGTTGGGCTGCATAAACGAATTTTGGCAGTGTGTTCATTTAGATCAGCGTTCCTTAAAGTGTGGTATGATGTTAGACGCTCTGAAGAGTCTGTAAAATACAAATTATCTTCCAGTCAGACAATCACAAAAAAGTCATTTTTATTTAAGAGGATTTTTATGAAATATTTAATATCGTAATGAACTTAATACTGTTTCAACATGAATCAAATCTACAAATGCATCAGTTTTAATTTTTTAAATTATAAACTGATAAATATATCACTGGAGGGGGAGTTGGAACCGGAAGCTTCCGATGGGGATGGCACATCTCCCCTGGAATGTCTGGGGAGTCCAGAGGCAGAAGATGATTTTGGTGGGTTTCAAAAATTTTTAGAACCTCTTCTGTAGGTATGGCCTGCTTTGTGGGAGTGCCTTGCTGGCCATGTGACCAGGTGAGAGTGGCTTGGCAGCCATGTGACTGAGTGGGAGTGGCTTGGCAATCATGTGACTGGGTGGGAGTGGCCAACTTGTAAAATGTGGTGAAACTCAACAACGCTCTTGCTTAGCAACCAAAATGTTGCCTCAGAAACACTGGCATTTGAAGCACACAAGTCTTACAGCTGTCAAATTACAAGAACTTTGCACTCCTAACCCTTTAGAAAAAAAAAACCCAGGGGTGTTCAAACTTGACAGCTTTAAGACTTGTGGACTTCAACTCCCAGAATTCCTACTCCAGTCATGTTGGCTCAGGAACTCTGGCATTGAAGTGTGCAAGTCTTAAAGCTGTCAAGTTACAAGACCCTTGCACCCCTAACCCTTTAGAAAAAAAACCCAGGGATGTTCAAACTTGACTGCCTTAAGACTTTAAGATTTAGATAGGACTCTTAGAGGCGGGCGTGGCGATTGGTGAGCCAGCCAATCAGTGAGCGGCGGGGAGGGCAAGTGTGGTGTGGATGGACGGGGGGAGGGAGCTGGAACCGGTTCTAAACGGCACAGTAGATTTGTGGAACCTCTTCTATAGAAGAGGTTAGAACTGGCAGGAACCCATCCCTGCTTCACAAACACAGGGGAGGATCAGCTGCACATAGGCAGTGGAGATGAGACAACAGATCTATCATAAGGAACAGACCCATCTCCCTCCTCTGACTTTTGGAAACCTTGACTTCTAGACTCAGGCTCATGTTTCAGCCTCTGGATTTGCATATCCTGCTTTATAGACTCTGATTCTGACTGGTGGCTTACAGATCTTGTTCTGCTCCTGACTTGTGGACTTCGCCTTTCTTCCTTTGGGGAGGCTTGTTTCTGGCAACTATTGGATTCCGTTGGTGGGACTATGTTATATTGACTTGTGGGTGGGTGGTTATTGGGGAAAAGCTGAATGGAGGTTTACCAACACCCCTGGAGGGCTGTCTGTTGTGATTTAGCAGTACAATAAAATACTTTATTGATGCCTGCATCTGCCTACTCAACCTGGGTCAGGAGAGTAGATCTTTAAAAAAAGGAGGGACAACTAGAGAGAGGATGCAGAGGATAGATTTTTCTGGACAGATCTCTCTTTCACCATCCCTACTTTAGGAAGAAGGGGAAGCACTGCAAAACAGTGCATTCCCTCAGACATGTTGCAATAGAAGGTTGTGATCAGTTGCACTGAAAGCCACTGAGAGATCAAAGAGGGCCACACTCCCCCAATCCTGCACTCTCCATAAGTGATACGTAAGCGTAACCAATGCAATTTCCATGTAGCATGCTGCCAGAAACTGATTGTCAAGGAGCCAAATAATCTGCTTCCTCTAAGTCTGTCTGTAGTTGCGGAGCACCAACCCTTTTACAGACAAGCCAGATCAGGAATCGGACACCACCAAGTCTATTGCTTTAATATTGTTGCGGTATAATAACAGAATCTTGAAAGCCCATCAAGAGTTTCCCATTCATGGGCTGTCTGTTAAAACAAAGTAAGATTATGGCATACACTTGAAAGAAGACGGGGAAGGATGCAATTGTGGAATCTGTCTGGCAGGAATAAAGACTGCTTATTCGCAGGGAATATGCTCGTGTAAAGCTTGTATCAATCCTGGTTAGAAAGTTGGTAAAAGTAACGAAGAGTTAGGCATCTTGCAGACCTTAGCTAGAAGTTAGGAACAGAGATGGCCTGGAACAAATAGAATGTGTATTACGCTGTTCCCCCAAATATAAGACCTTCCTGGATAATAAGCCCAATTGGGCTTTTGAGACCTTTCGCTAAAATAAGCCCTCCTCTGAAAATAAGTCCTCCCTGAAAATATTGCAACACAGCAGCAGCCATGAGGTGACCACGCTCACTGCCTCCTACACCTCAAAAATAATAAGACCTCCCCAGAAATAAGGCCAAACGCTTATTTCAGGGGTCAAAAGAAAATAAGGCCCTATCTTATTTTCAGGAAAACACGAGAGATAAGTGAACCATTCATTAGCCAAGGTTAGGAATAGGGATGGCTACAGACCAATAGAAATTCTAGAATAATTGTTAGATCATTACAGAGAATGAGGTGGCTGGATGGAGTCACTGAAGCAGTAGGCGTGAGTTCAAATGGACTCCAGAGGATGGTAGAAGACAGGAAGGCCTGGAGGAACATTGTCAATGGGGTCACGATGGGTCGGCCACGACTTCGCAACTAGCAACAACAAAAATGTTTATTAGATGATATTTTTTATATATCCTGCCTTATCCCGCCTTCTGCTTTAGTGAAAATGTATAAAGCTTTCTTAATTCTATTGCTCAAAGTTCCTTGGCATATTTGCAGCGCTTCAATAAAAGGAAACAAAACCGGCAGCTTGTGTCTGGTGTTCTTCATTGGCTTCAGCACCAGGCTCAGACCCAAACTGGGGACAACACCATTGTCTCTTTTATCATGGGGTGCAGAGGCAGGATAGGATTATTTTGAGTCTCTTGAGTGAAAAGAAGGCAGAATTCCATTTCTTGTCTGCTCCTTGCCCCCCGCCCCCAATGCAGGGATACAACTTTCTTAAATATGGAGGGTTGCGGATAGGTCTAACATTGTTAAAAGCACTTGGATTGAGAAGGCTTCCTGATCAGGATGGAGATGACAAACACCTACTTCCCATCAGAAATGTACCTTTCTTCCTTCTTTGCATTAGTACCTGCAATGTACATACAATCCACCAGGATCCTCCCTCTGCAAAGAGAAAACAACATCCATGCGCTTCAGCATTGAACCACTAGAGGGCCACGGATGGATTTCAGAGGAAGGTGAGAAGGTAATGACGTGCGTAATCCTGCCTCTCTAGGACACTGCACTCTCTCTCTTTAACCCTTTGAGTTTTGCAGGAGGTAAAACCGGAGGAAAGCCTTGAAGGGGAGAGATCCAACTGTGGTGCTGGGTGACTGGTCGATGTTTTCCCATTCAAAGGGAGGCAGGAGGTTCTGACGCTGAAGAAGTAAGAGATATATGCCCTCATCCAGGTTCAACCTTCCGAGTCCATGGATTGGGAGAGCCCTGATCCCATGCTCCCCTGCCCCCCTTTCTATGCTCGTAACAGGCGGGGGTGGAGGGAGGAAGCAGATCTCCAGACAAGGCTGTTTTGCCTCCAGTTGTGTTGTCCCCAGAAACAAATCCAGATCCCCAGGAAGAAGAAAGGTATTCTGGGGTAGGCAATCACGCGCCATTTCCTGGGGAAATCTCGGTAGTGGGAGAGGGTGAGTTTGCATGGCAAATCACAAGCAAGAAAGAAGAAAAGTTTTACAAGGAAGTAGATGCAGAAGATTGTGCCTACGTTCTTACTATGGGCTGGATGCCGCTAAAATAGGGCTTGGGTCATCTGCTGTTCAATTTGTCTTAGGAGGGTGAGTGAACCTCGAAATCATCTCCAATCTATGTTCCTTCAATCCTTGTGTTTCACACGAACTCACCACATGCAGTTACTGTCTGGGCTTAAGGCACGTTTTTGTGAACCTGCCTGCCTATAATAATGTAATGTGACTCTTAAAAAGCAACTAGACTCACTTGGTTTTCATTTTATGTGACCTTTCATGGTTTGTTAAGGTGTTCGGGGATTGGCATGTTGTGTAAACCCTGCCTGCAGGTATTTAGATATATAGAATAACATATATATTGGAGGTCTTCTAATCCAACCCCCTGCTTAGGTAGGAAATCCTATACTATTTCAGACAAATGGTTATCAATCTCTTCTTAAAAACTTCCAGTGTTGGAACATTTACAACTTCTGGATGCAAATTGTTCCACTGATTAATTGTTCTGTCAGGAGATTCCTTTTTTGTTCTTGGTTGCTTCTCTCCTTGATTAGTTTCCACCCATTGCTTCTTGTCCTGCCTTCAGATGGTTTGGAGAACAGCTTGACTCCCTCTTCTTTGTGGCAGCCCCTGAGATATCAGAACACTGCTATCATGTCACCTCTAGTCCTTCTTTTCATAACACTAGACATATCCAGTTCCAGCAACCGTTCTTTGTATGTTTTAGCTTCCAGTCCCTTAATCATCTTTGTTGCTCTTCTCTGCACTTTTTCCTAGAGTGTATATGTATTTCTTGGTTTTTAAAAGCAAGCCCTTCTTTTGGGGAGAAAGAAATGGGGGGGGGAGTGTTCTGAAATGCATTTATTCAGTGCATTTCATCCCAATTTTTGATGAGGCTCAATCCCATAGTTTGCAACACACACGCAATCACATACAGAAACGACCGTATTTTTCAGAGTATAAGACTCACCTTTTTCCCTCAAAAAGAGGCTGAAAATGTGGGTGCGTCTTATACACTGAATATAACATTTTTTGCCTCCCGAAACCCCGCCCCTTCACCAAAATGTGCATAGCTTGTAGGAGGCTTTCAGAGAGCTCCTGGGGACTAGGGAGGGCAGAAATGAGTAAAAAACGGACCGTTTTTGGCTCAATTCCCCCCCCTGCCGCCCCCCCAGGAGCACTCTATAAGCTTCCTAATGCACTTTTGACAAAAAAACGGGCCTGTTTTCGTAACAAACTGGCTGTTTTGGGGAGGTTTGCAGAGTGCAAAAACTTTTCTTAAAAATTTGCCTCTTCAAAGCTTTGGTATATCTTATACTTCAGTGCGTCTTATACTCTGAAAAATACGGTAATTGCTCAGTGCCACTGTAATTCTACACTAGCTCAGAAACATCCTTCCAGAAGTAGGATTATTATTGAATGGTTAAATGCACCACTTTCTAATTCTTGGCTTTTATTTGGTTTTCGGTCTCAGATACGTAAACTGGAAGCGATTTGTACAGCCTTTCATCTTCCACAAAGGGGGCTGAATGGTTTGTTCTGCTTAGTCCTGAGGCTACATCAATGCTCCAATGAATGAAAAAACATTTGGAGATCCTCAAGATTCCTTCAACCTATTTGGAATTGTGTTATAGGACAGAAAAAGAATGGCAAGCCGTTTAGCAAATGAGAGAACTGGAAAAACCCCTTCTGGTGCGCAGTCTGGAATCCACGGGGAGATCTCGGCAAGAACTGGGCAGAAGAAGCTGGAAGAAGGAATTATCGTTTCACAAGTTCAGGCTTTGAATTTCAGGAGCGTCCAATATCAGGAGGATGAGGGTCCCCGAGGACTTTGCAGCCGACTCCACTACTTTTGTAGTCGATGGTTGAGACCAGAAAAGCACACAAAAGCACAGCTACTGGACCTGGTTGTTCTGGAGCAGTTCTTGGCCCTTCTGCCCCTGCAGATGGAGAGCTGGGTGCGGGAGTGTGGAGCAGAGACCAGCTCCCAGGCGGTGGCCCTGGTGGAAGGTTATCTCCTGAGCCAGGCGGAGGAGAAAAAGGAGCAGGTTGAGTCGCAGGTGAGATAATTTCATCTTGGGATCCTAGAATGGGTTTAAATGTAATAAACAATGTGTTTGAATTCTATGCTCCTCATTACCAGTTCTCTGGTATTCATAAGATTTCACTAATTCTTGAAGGACATTGTTCCATTATCCATTCTTAGAAGAAAGATTTGGGGCAGCCTTTTCCTAACCCTAACTGATGGACATTGGGTGTTTTCAAGTGGTGTTGAAAAACAGAACAAGAATCCATTTCATGGTTTGCATTATCCTTTCATTCTTATTCTTTTCTCTGCTTATATTTCTAGCCCTTCACTGTGGAGAATAGAGATCCTGAGAGAAGGAGACATCTATCCGATACCCCCCGGGAACTATTTTTCTTAAGGATTACTCAGGATGACACAAATCAAGAAGCATCCAGAGGTAATACAAGACTCTCTCATTCCCCATAAAAATGTCAGCTGTCTCATCTTCTCTATGTCTTTGCTATTATAGCACACCTCCACCTAGCATTTTAAAAGTCTGTCTCCCTCACAGGAAAGAATAGAGGGAAGCTGACTGTCCCTTATGATAAAGATGAAACAATGGCGGAACCAACAACTCAAGTAAGAGAAGGAAAATTATTTATTAGATTTGTATTCTCCCCTTTCTTCAAAAAATCAAGTTGCGTACATTGTACTGTTGCCTTCCATTTTTTCCCTCTTGTTTGGGAGGCCTTATTTTCATGTCCCCTAGCAACAAAAATTCAATGAGATTCTTATTGGGATTTTTTTTAAGACCAATATTTTAAAAAGTATTCTTTATGCTAATTATACTCCATACATTTCAATAACTACTTTTTTTACAAAATCCTTCACGGTGCCCATTCTTTTTGCCATTCTTTGACTTAATTTAGGCAAGGATGCTTTTAAAAAATGATGTAATATTCATACTGGTACATTACCATTTGAAAAAAAAGCTTTGTTGCAAAGTTTATATTGTATTTTACAAATACAATGTTTACATTACAAAGACATAAGAAAATAAATTCATAAAGTTAAAATTGATTGAAAGTGGCCGTATAGAAAAAGCTTGGTACCAAAATTGTTCTGAAAGTCCCCTTTGGCTACAAAGGTTAAGAAACGTTCTCCTTAGGAAATTTTCTGTTTCTTTGTCTCCTGTTCAGCCAATGGCTCAGACTATTAGCAGTTTCCTTGCTATATGAAGAGTTTTGTGTCTCTGGATATTGATGGCACTTTACCAAATCTTCCATTACACACACACACACACACACACACACACACACACACACACTTACTTCTGCAAACATAGGAAGGATTACTGACAGATGGTGTTTCCAAGGCCCACCTGCCAGATGACTCTCCCCAGATGCTGAGAGTCTTTTGATGGTGGATGGATTAATGGATTGAGAAGAGTATTTTGAGAGTGGATGGTAGATGTATCAATCCAGAAGGATACACGGGTTAACTTTACTGAATGGTACCAAAAGTCCTGTAGAATCAATCAAGATGATAAAAGCTGCCTAAAATATTTTCTCAGTCAAATGCTTTCTGTTCTGTCCAAGCATAGACCTTAGCGCATAACTTTGCTTTGGGAATTTCTAAAGAATGGGGCAGATCTTGCAGTCCTTCCCAGGTCATTTTGTACTTTTTTGTTTTTGTTTTCAGGGGGGTTTTGTGCCCTTTGAGGAGGTGGCTGTTTATTTCTCAGAGGAGGAGTGGTCTCAGCTGGATTCTGACCAAAAAGCTCTGCATTGGGAAGTCATGCTGGAGAATTATAGGAACATGGCTTCTTTAGGTAAGGTTTTCTATTCCCCAGTCAGAGTTCAGGAAGCCATTGGCTGTTTCTTGTTTAAAAATCTCCAAATAGAGGTCATCTCTTGAGAGGAAAAAGAAAATGATATGCTGTTCTACTGCTCCTTGTATGGAAATAGATTAATGGCTTTCTGCTTAGATGCATCCTGTGCCATTTGACATCTGTTGAGTTTTTCTATTTCTATTTAAACACTTTAGTGACAAAGTAATTCCTTGGTTTGAGATAATGTTAAACTCTGTTACAGAGATTTCATATTTTTTGGGCCAGGTACTTCCATATCAGTACTATGAAGGATTACAATTCAATTAATTTTTGGCTAAATGGACTTTCCTTCCATTTCACTTCTATCCTGAGTCTTGGAATTAGGGCAAACTGGTGCCATTTTTCTATTGCAAACATGCTGCTTAGGATTAATACAAGAACTCTTCTTTTTTTCTCTCTGCAATCATGTGATCTTTGGCAGGAAAAAATTAAAACACAAATGGAAGGTAGCTTTGTATAGGAAGAAAAAAATGAGTTTCAAAATTAATTCTCAGAGGGCTCTTCCGGAATTGGCCCACCTCCAATGAATCTTGGGTTTTCTACAAATGCTTTCTTGGATGTTTCTCCTGGTTTTTAAATTAAAATTTTGTTTTAGATGTTTGAAAGCTTTGATGTCTCATGAATAGAGATATTATAATTTATATACCACGCCATTATAAGGGTAAAGGTAAAGGTATGTCCTAGTCATTCCCAACTCTAGGGGGCAGTACTCATCTCCGTTTCAAACCCGAAGAACCAGTGCTGTCCGAAGATGTCTCCATGGTCATGTGACCGGCATAACTAAACGCCAGAGGTGCACAGAACCCTGTTACCTTCCCACCAACGGTGGTTCCCATTTTTCTACTTGCATTTTTTACGTGCTTTCGAAGTGCTAGCTTGGCAGAAGCTGGGACAAATAACGGAAGCTCACCTGGTTATGCAGCGCTAGGATTCAAATCGCTGAACTGCCAACCTTTCTGATCAACAAGCTCAGTGTCTTAGTCCCCGAGCCATTGTGTCCCTTATAAGTGTACAAATATGCAATATATTGGAATTTTGCACAATATCAGAGGGACATTCATATGACTTCTGGAAAATTGACCTTTTTTCATAACCTTGCTAACATTTTTATTTCTCCTTTCCTTTGAAGGTAATAATGGGCAGGAAAATAAAGAGTCAGTTGAACTATTCCAAAAGTTCAGACATGGGAACAGAACAGAGAAGCCTGCAAATCAAATGGAACAACAAAGGCAAGAGAGAAACCCGTCAAACAATTGGAATAAGGAAAGCTCATCTTCAGTTGATGCTCAGTTGCAAGGCTTTCTTGACCAACTAGGAAAAATAGAGAAAAAATATATTGGGAAAGGTATAGAACTATTCAAAGACATATTAGATGTAAACGAATATTATCCAACCCAAGCCAAACCAGAAGCCTATATATGCAAAGACAATGGAAAAAATTACAATGGGACTTTTACTCTTTCTAGGGAAACAGTGACATCTCATAAAAGGATGCACGTAGGAGAGAAGCCGTTTAAATACTTTGAGTATGGAAAGCACCAATGGGGTCATCTTATTTCCCATAACAGTAGACATATAGAAGAGAAGCCGTATAAATGCCTGGTGTGTGGAAAGGGCTTTAGCCAAAAAAGCACCCTTATTAACCATCAAATGATCCACACAGGAGGGAAGCCATTTAAATGCATGGAGTGTGGAAAGGGCTTTAGCCAAAAGAGCACCCTTATTAACCATCAAATGATCCACACAGAGGATAAGCCATATAAATGCATGGAGTGTGGAAAGGGCTTCAGAGATGGCAGATATATAACACGCCATCAAAGGATCCACACAGGGGAGAAGCCATATAAATGCATGGAATGTGGAAAGAGCTTCAGAACAAGCAGTAAACTTACATCCCATCAAAGGATCCACACAGGGGAGAAGCCATATAAATGCATGGAGTGTGGGAAGGGCTTTAGCCATAAGAGTGCCCTTATTACCCATCAAAGGATCCACACAGGAGAGAAGCCTTATAAATGCATGGAGTGTGGAAAAAGCTTTAGAACAAGCAGTAAGCTTACACCCCATCAAAGGATCCACACAGGGGAGAAGCCATATAAATGCATGGAATGTGGAAAGGACTTCATAACAAGCAGTAAACTTAAATCCCATCAAAGAATCCACACAGGAGGAGGCATATAAATGCATAGTGTGGAAAGACCCTTAGTTCCAACAGTCATCTTCTCATAGAAGGCTCCACACAGGGGAGAAGTCATATAAGTGTGTGGAGTTTGAAAAGGGCTTTAGCCAACAGAGTAGTCTTAATTCTCATAAAAGGATCCACACAGGAGAAAAGCCATATAAATGCTTGGAATGTGGAAAGGGCTTTAGTCATCTTACTTCCCATAGAAGGATCCACACAGGGGAGAAGCCATAAAATGCATGGAGTGTGGAAAGATCTTTCGTAAGAACAGCCAATTCCATAGAAGGATCCATACAGGGGAGTAGCCATATAAAGGCAGAGAGTGTGGCAAGACTTTTACTTACAGGAATCAACTTACTGGTAATAAAAGGATCTAAATGGGAAAAACCATACAAATCCTTGGAGTGCAGAAAGGGTTTCAGCCAAACTAGCAATCTTACTTCCCATAAGAAGATATGTACAAGGGAAAAGCCATGTAAGTGCATGCACTGTAGAGAGAGAGCAACAGGAGGAGTGATATAATTTCCCATACATTTGGGTGAGAATCTATGTTAATTCTAGATTTAATTACTTAAATCCATGGATTTTCTTTTCAAAAGTGGGTTTCCAGGTCAGTTATTTCTTCCCACTTGATCACACACCAAGTGTTTAAAATGTCCTTCTTTTGACTAATCTTCTTAGAATAGTTTTCACCTTCCTTCTCATTCCTTAAAACATTATCATTTCATTAAACAAACCTATGTCCTTTATCCTCACAAAAATTTGGAAACAATGCACCATAGAAAATCAAAATTATAATCCAGACAGTTCGAGTTTCATCAAAGTTTAGAGTGTGATGGAATGTAATACTGTCCTGTTGAGATGAATCCTGTTGAGATGAAAGACGGGTAAGATCCAATTAACTCACAGTCATAAATCAAAAGTTGGAAAAGACAAAGTATCCTGAGAGCATAAATAATATTAATAGACAGATCTGGATTTTGGCAAAAAGAAAGAAAGAGAAAAGTAGAGGGTTGAAACATTACCACCCCCCAAAAAAAAGTCATTTGTGTGAAATAATTTGGACAGAAAAGGAGAAAGCAGAGAAGTGACAAACCCACTGAAATACAAACTCTAAATTTGGTTTTGGATTTGAAATATTCCGTCGAGATTTCCTTCATCCAAATTTCTTCTAACTAATATATCTTAATCAACTCCAAGTAATGAAGGTGGAATGCAACAAGGGAGGAAAATCAAGAAAAAAGCACTATTTTCTCACTGGTAACTGATAACCTAATCTTACCTGTGCAGGAAGATTTAATTAACCAACTGCCATAAATCAGAACTTGGAAAAGCAGAAGGCGAAGAGAAACATACCCGAGTTTGGCTGTATGAAAGTTTGGTCCAATTAATATATTTTTAGCAATTATAATTAATGAGAGGTAGAAAGTAGCAAGGGGGGAAAAAAATCAAAGAAAATACAAAGGTTTTTTTTCTGCAAAAGATCAAGATGTCCTCCGCTTCTCTTCTGTTTTACATTAGCTGAATGAGTCAAATTTAAGATGGACCAGAACTTTGAAATAAGAACTTTATAACTATGCAATTTTGGAACTCGACATTAAGGAAGAACGAAAGACCAAAATGGCACCTGCCGCTCTTCTTCTCCACAGCAACGGAACTAGCTAAATTTAAGGTGGACCAGAAATCTGAAATAACAACTGTATAATTAACTGTAACTTTGGAACTGTACATTATGGAAAGGTGGGAATTACGTGAAATTATAAAAAATATGCATAAATAATTAAAATCAATTCTAAATAGAATTCTGAACTTAGAGAAGCAGGAATTTAAGGAAGAAGTGAAGGAAGAAGGGGGAGAGATAATGAAGGAGTAGAAATGGTGAGAAATAAAAAGCAGACAAAAAACTTCATTGGGTTTGGCAGTGGTATAGGGAAAATTGAAAAGTGGGGATGTGTCCCAACAAAAGGAAATAAAAAGCAGACAAAAGATCTTATGGAGATTGACAGTGGCATAGGGAAAACTGAAGGAGGGGGGTTACGCCCCAACAAAGGAAAATATAAAAGATTTATTTGACGGTGGCTTGGGGAAAATTGAAGAAGGTGGACGTGTCAAAACAAAGAAAAGGGAGAAGACAGGAATAGAGAAGTGGGACAAAAGACTAGGAAAAATCAGACAATTAGAAATTGTTATATGGGGAAAGATAAAGCTGAGATATGTGGTTTACTCCTAAACATGACAAATTGAGTTGCTAACTGATTGAATATGATAACAGAAAGATAATTAAATAAAGGTTAAAATATGGACAAATATGAAACTGTAATGGGGAGATTCTAAAGCAGAGGTTTGTGATTCACTTTTATACATGATCATTAAATTGAGTTGCTAATTGATTGAATGTGACAATGTAAGGACAATTAAGCATGGGTTAAAATATACGAAACATGGATATGTATAGAACTTCTAAGATGATGAACAAAATGAGATGTTTACTGCTTGTTATTCAATATAGTAGATTAAGGGAATTGTAATGAACATTGAACAGCAAGGATTGCTATTTTTAAAACAATTAAGGGTAATCTAAGCCAAGATATGGAAAAATGGAGAGGGAATATGAAATATACCTACAATGGGAAACTATTCAGATTTAAAGACAGAATCACAAATTAGGTGTGTGTAAGGATGCATAATTATATAAATAAAATGAGAGTAGCTGGAAATTGTAACCAGGTCTACATCTCGTCCAAAATTAGGCTTAAAAAAAACCAACAACCTACAATTACTATATATGTATACTTTTTTTCTCTCTTAAAAAAAGGAGGAAGATATATGTTAATTAAATATATATATTGAAAAGGAATTATAAATACCATCAACATAAAATGGAGCTCGCTCAGAAGCTGAAATACACCAAATAAATGAGATGAAGAGTGGTGTGAAGTAGAGGAGAGTGGTAAGGAAAGAAGAGAGGGACAGGAGAGAGGGCGGTGGGGAGAGGAGGAGAGAAAGAAGGAGTGAAAAGGGGGGAGGAGAGAGGAAAGGGAAATAGAGAAGAGAAGAATGACAGAGGGAAGAAAGGAGGTAGGGAGGGGGAGAAGAGAGGGAGAAGAAAGTGATGGATAAGGTACAAATATGGCGTATGAAGAGCAGAAGAGCCAATAATTGTTTTTGGGAGTTGATGGTAAGGCGAATTGATGTAAACATTTAATAATACAATATGATGTTGGCTATGTAATAGTATATATGTGATTATATGCTATGAAAATGGAAAAATAAAAAAACTATATATATAAAAAAAGTTGGATACAATGCACCAGAGAAAATCAAAATTATAATCCAAAGACAGTGCAAGTTTCATCAAAGTTTAGAGTGTGATGAAATGTAATACTGCATTGTCCTGTTGAATAATTGGGATATTGAATTAAAAGTGACAAATAAAAGGAGTTATACTTTAATTTTTCATTACTTCCTCGCTTTCTTTCTTTTTTTTCCCTAGTTGGGGATACTCGGGGAAAATAACAATAAAAGTGATGCTTAACATTGCAAATGATCAAGCAGGAAAGGTGATAATTGGAAAAACTATTTTAGAAAACTATTTCTTGTCCTATCTCGACACAGAGAAATGAGAAAGGATGTAAAAACACCCCCAAATACCGTATTTTTTCGGAGTATAAGACGCACCAAGATTTTGAAGAGGCAAATTTCAAAAAATAGCAGTAAAAAAGTTTTTGCACTCTGCAGACCTTCCAAAATTGGCCCATTTTTTGCAAAAACGCACCCATTTCTGTCAAAAAAAGGGCATGCGTATCCTTTAGGGGGCTTGTAGAGCGCTCCTGGGGGCTGTAGGGGATGAAAATGAGCAAAACACGGCCCGTTTTTCGCTCATTTTTGCCCTCACCAGCCCCCAGGACCACTCTGGAAGCCTCCTAAAGGCTATGCCTGGCCATTTTAGTGAAGTGGGCAGGGTTTTGGGAGGCCAAAAATGCTGAATTCAGCCTATAAGACACACCCAGATTTTCACCCTCTTTTGAGGGGAAAAAGGTGCGTCTTATACTCTGAAAAATATGGCTAATCAAAGTTGCATCCATGGTGTAGAACTGAGACTTGAGGCAGCCAGTAACTATGCGGAAAGCATGGAACAATACTCGGTCAAAGGCCTCTTGGTTTGAGAAACTTGTCACCTGCATATCAATGGGTAACCTGTGGGAAGAGCTGAAAGGATGAAGAATTCCTTTCTCACAAAAGGAGCCAGAGCGACAAGTTCCAAACAAGGGTTTTAAAAAGAAAGGTTTTCTGTGGAGCCATGAGTTTTGGTTTTGAAAAACAATTTTCAAATTTGTTTTTTTTCCTGCTTGTGCTTTAGTATCTCTCCCAGGTTTCTTTATCTTACCTTTCCAAAGACAGAGGAGTCGCTTCAGATATATCTCTTCCTCCTCCTCCTTCCTGCAGCCTCTTATTGGAAGAAATATCTATCTGGTTCAGTTCCAAATGGGGAGAAAAACACTGGAAACATGCAGCTGATTGGAAAGATATTTTAATGAAGCAGAACCCTCAAGCACATGGTCCTGCTGTAGCTGACGAAATGGAGTGGAGAATGAGGGTTATTTATATTAAGAGGAGCCTTCCAATACTTGAGAGGCTGTCACAGAGATGTCAACCTATTTTCCAAAGGACCAATGGTAACATAAGTAATAGATGAAAACTTACCAGATAACCAGCCTAGAACCAAAGAGAAATTTCCTGACAGAACAATTAACTAGTGGAACAGCTGGATTCCAGATGTTTTTGGTGTTCTATCACTGTTCAAGAAGACATTGGACAGGCATAAGTCTGCGATGGTGTGGGGTTTCCTCATGGAGCAGGGAATTGAGCTAAACAACACGCAAGATTCCTTCCAACTATGTTACTGGATATTTTGAATCTCTTGAGTAAGAAGATGGCTGAATCCTATTTCTTCTGGGTGCCTTCACTCCCTGAATAAAAGGATGTAGCTTTCTACAGGAACCCTTCTTAAAAGTGAAAAGGGGCACATGGGTGTAACTCTGTCAGAAGCAATTGGATAAAAAGAAGGGTTATTGATCTGGAGGAAAACAACTTCCTCCTTTCTGGGCCCTGATGGAAAAGGCACCGTTTCCACCCTTTGCATAAGCCCCTTCCATGCACACAGGAATCCGACAGGTGTGTCCCACTAAAACGAGAACAGGACGCCGTGCGATTCCCCATTCGGCCACCGGAGGGCGGACGCCAGAGGTGATTTACCATAGGAGAATGGGAGGGAAGTGACGTCACTGATCTGACGTCTCTATTTAACCCTTTGAGCTTCGCAGGAGGTTTGAATGGGTGCTGGAAAGTCTTGAAGGGAGGAGAACTACAGGTGGGCAGAGTAAGTGGCGGTTTGAGTGTGTGAGTCTCCGCGTGCAAAAGGGGAGGGGAGAACAGGGGTTCCTGGTGCTTGAGAAGGAAGGGAGAGAAGCCAAGTCCCCATGCAGGTTCCGTCTTCTGAGTCCTGGGGGTGGGAGAGCCCGGGATCCCATGTTCCCCTGCCGCCCCTCTCCACGCAGGTGGCAGGCAGAGGGAAGCGGTGCTCAGGACGAGCCGCGTCGCCCCAGGAACAAATCCCCAGAGAGGAGGGAGGGTCCCGGGGAAATCCTCCGCCCCTCCATAGCCTGGAGGAAGCTCCGAGGTAGGAAAAGGGGAGAGCTTGGAGGGCAAATCTGGAACAGAGAACAAGAAGATGGTTGCAAGGGAGGAACTGCAAGAAATTGTGCCCGCCTTCTGCTTACGTGCTGCAGGAGA